CACACACATTATTTCTACCCCACCAAAATTGAGCAATGAGTCTGCTCAATGTATTTAGAACATATATGGGAACCTTGAAGCAAGACATGACAAAGGTAGGAATTGCACTCAACACTGATTTTATAAGTATTTCTTTTCCAGCTTCACTCAAGAAATTGTTTTTCCAGCTCTCTAATTTTTTCCTCACACTCTCAATCAAAAAATTGAACACTTCTCTTTTTGTCTTTCCAATCCCCAAAGGGAGACCTAAATATCTGGTGGAGGATATTTTGGTAATACCATTGAGAATGGAACAGATTTCTACCTGCTTGTGTAAAGAAGTGTTTTTTGAAAAGAAAATTGAGGATTTATCAAGGTTAACCATCTGACCAGAATCATTGCCATATTGACTCAAAATATCAAGAAAAGATGCATGATGTTTGTCTGCCCTACATAATAGAATTGAGTCTCGGCAAATAACAAGTGAGAAATGACTGGACAATGCACACCAAGCTTGAACCCTGTATAGCTCCCACTAATGCATGCATGTTTGTTGAAGTGCATCATAAGGATTTCATTTCTTTTGTGGAAAACGATATCGGCAAAAAAGCTATAAAAAGAAGAATCTCGATTAGGTACCAATCAATCTGAATACATGATTCCTAGTGCACCAAAAGATGTAGGAATTTTGTTGTACCATATATTTATGCATGTATGAAGTTTGTCAATCTCGTATTTTTATCCTATATATCTTTTCATTCTGATAATGCAGCAAGGCGAGTCACAGTGAGGTCTCAACCAGCCGAACTAGCACACCTAACACTAAGTGAAATCTTGTGTTATCTAACAAAAACCTCTTGTAGCAAAGAAAGCATTCTTTTGGGTTTGAATATGGACAGAGAGATAAAAGGCATGATGTGCGTGGAAGTACAAAGAAATATAGTCAGAATCTAAACACTAAGAGCATGATTGGATATAAAAAGTTTTTGTTTTGATTGGATTTTTTGTTTGGGTTGGTTAAATTTAAAAAAGTTGGTATGGTTAGTTGTTAGTGAGTATATTAAAATAATATTTAAAATAAAATAATTAAAATTAAATTGATGTAAAAGTAGGAGAGAGAAGATGTGATATGATGGTTAGTTAAAATTATGTGAGTTGGTGAATAGTGAATTAAAGTTGATGTTGTGTGTAAGAATGATTGATTGATATTATTTAATTATATTGATAATATTGATGATAGAGGGGTTGAGTTAAAGTTGAGTTAAAAAAAATGGTTGAGTTAAAAATGATTTGATTTTTTGAATTGGATTTATATTCTAATAAGTTGGTCCCTTTGAGTTTTTTTGCTTATGTTTATTAAGAGGAAATACTTGTATATTTTATTTACTAATTACCAACTTTCTTGTTTTTAAGTTATAAACTGGAACTTGTAGTACACATAAGTATAGTTGTTTTTTTATTCCTGATTGGAATGTATCAAAGAAAAATATGTACTGAAAATTGGAGATAGGCCTCCTGCTCAACGAAAGATGACTTCAATGATATTGTGGTTTCCTATTGCTCATCTATTGTTGGATGTGTTGTCAACTTAATAAATATTAATATTTTTTTATTTTGGTTCACTGACTGTTGTGATTTGAAAGAACGCACAAAAATGTACTAGTCTGCTAGATATTTGAATACTAGGTTTTGATTTGAAACAGAACACATAAATGTGTACTAGATTGCTGGATGTTTGAATACTTGAGTTTTTTTCTTTTGCTTGCGATTGATGTCATGGAAATGTTTCATGTACTTCAAAACACTGCCTATTAATATTAACATAATACTTAAAATATTTTCATGGCTTCTCACTTTTAAGAAATTATTTTCATCTTCAAAAGAGAATCATTACCAAAAAATCATACATGAGAAAAAATTAAATAGATTGCACCAAAATTTACAAAAATTAATTAAAACGTTCATAAAAAAATTAGAAAAAAAAAATCAACTATAGTGATAAAAAAAAATAGTGCATAAAATAATCCAAAAGAATATTATACAAAATTATATGTATTAAACTCAAATATAAAAAATAACACAAAAATAAATAAATAAATAAATAAAATGGGCCGGCTGTTTTTAGTAGAAGAAGAGAGAATACCCGAGTAGAGCGATGCCCAAACCGGAAATGCGACTTACATCATTGTTGTATCTCGCGCACTCAATCGTGCTTTCCCTCGTCTCCATCGCGCACAGCTTTGCTGCGATAATCTTCCCAAGAACTCGCGATGTTTCTGAGATGGATGTGAGTAATAATTTTCGGGGAGAAAAGCTTCTTAGTGACCTCAGCACCTGGGGAATTGGGGGACCGTGCAAATACTTTGTTCAAGTCTCTGATCAACACCAGCTCGCTGCAGCCGTCAGGTTCTTCGTCTCTGGACTCTGATAAATCTGATGTTTTGGATTCGAACTTACTTAGTTTAACCTAGTACCTGCTATTTTTATCACAATACGTGGATTTTTGAAAGTTTGACTTTGGAGACATTCTATCGTTGAGGGGAAAAAAGAAAAAAGAAGTAATTGTTTGTGCGAATATTTGATGTTTACCACTGATGAAATATTTGATTTTAATGAGCTTATTAAGTTTGATTGCCGACGCGAGCTAGAGTTAGGTACCTCGGACAAACAGTTAAACAGAGGTTTGTTTCTTCTATATGGTGGCGTGGTATAATCTTCAGGCTGCCAATTTTATTACTGATGAAATGGGTCATATTAGTTAGTGGTGATGATAATTAATTGGAGCGCAGAAATTCCTTCTTTTGTAGCATTTCGCTCAAAGGGTGAGAGAAAGTATAAATGTTAGCTTTTATGCTTTGTTATTGCAGGCATTGCAATGAGCATTCAATGAGATATATGGTGATTGGCAGAGGCTCTAACTGTCTGTTTGATGATTTAGGATTTGATGGGTGTATAATTCAGAATTGCATAGTGTTTCTGGAGAATATTGAAGCTGGTGTGTACAGAGCTGGGAGTGGTTATCCCATGAACCGTTTGGGTGCGCAGACTGCAAATGAGGGATTTAGTGGGCTCGAATTTGCGGGAGGAATCCCGGGGACTGTTGGTGGTGCTGTTTACATGAATGCTGGTGCAAACGGACAGGTGCTGTCAGCTGATTTCTTTTTTTCTTTCAAAGAAAAGCGACGTTTGAGGGGTACTTGAAAGTTATCTATATTTAGTTAGACTTGAAAATGGACTAACTTTTGTTAAAAATTACCTGTGAAATTATTTGAAAACCCACTAAGAATAGAAAGAAAGATAAATGACAATCCCTAAGTATTGACCTTGGAGGTTTGTATTTATGTAACAAGTACGTGACAAGATGATTGGTGCAGTTTGTAAATGATATCCTGCTCTTTTTCATTTTTATTTGTGAATAAATTGAACCAAATTGATAGTTACAAATTAATCCTTAAATAGACCAACTTTTTGTTATCAGTACCAATAGGATGGATAGAAGAGACTAGCTTTTCCATCATTGATAAGCTACTCAGTGATACCAGTTTCAGGCTTTAAAAGGTATTTAGCTCATATGGAAGCCTAATGAAAATAGTAAAAAGAGACTGGTTGTTATTTTATATTTATTAATCAGATAAATGGATGATGTTTAACTAACTGTAGGAGACAGCTGACACAGTTGAGAGCATTGAGATCATGTCAACCAATGGAGAGTTGAAGACTGTGAAAAGAAGTGACCTCAGTTTTGGCTACCGAAAGTCGCCATTTCAAGATATGAAAGACTTTGCCGCCTTGACTGCTGTCACCTTTCGACTGAAGGCCTCACAATCATCAATGGAAAAGCAGCAAGAATATGCAAAAAGGTAAGCTTATGGTTAGTATTTGTGCTATGTATGTATGTACGTATGTGAGTGCAGTCTGACAATGCCAATTTATGCATTGGGGTGGACAACTGCAAAAATTACCTTTGAGGATTGACTTAGTTATGGAAACACTCATTTTACCATCGTAGGTATAAAATGTAACCCTAAAGTTAATTTATATTGTAACTGAGGGATCAATTGCAATATTTTAATAGTTGTGAGAGGGCTTATGACGTGCTTTTTACTTACCACGGCGGTAATGTAAATAAAAACTCGAGGGTACTTTTTGTGTCTGTGAAAACTAGCTAGATATTTAATTATTTCTTAGTCGGTCAAATTTATCTTTGTAATTAACCAAATGCTCAGGAGGAAGCTTACTCAACCGGTGGGTGAGAAAAGTTGTGGTTCGGTTTTCCGTAATCCACACGGGACAGAATTTTCGGCTGCACAATTGATCGAGAAAGCAGGGCTAAAAGGGTTTAAAGTGGGACGGGCCATGATCTCAGAAAAGCACGCGAATTTCTTCATAAACTCAGGCGGCGCAACCTCTCAAGACATGCTCGAGCTTATTGGCCTTGCCAAGGATGCCGTCTATAAGAAATTTGGTATAAAGCTGAAAGAAGAAATTTTGCATGTTCATCCATATTTGTGAAATATAAGATATTTGCTTGGTAGTATTGGAAAAAAGGGAAAAACATACCATCACACATGATATATGCTGTACAAGTAAGTACGTTCTATCTCGTCTGTGTCTGGTTACAACTTCTGTAATATAATGAACGAGGATTCCAATGGGCATAACAGGTCTCTATATTCTCCTCTACTCTGCCGTGATATACCTGCCTGTTTGAACTTGCAATCAAGATCTAAGAATTGAGGTATAAATGTTTCTGTGCATGTAGAGGGAGACTTTGCTGCAAAAAGATCAACCAACAAATGAATCCAAGCCGAAATCAATGTCATAATAAATTTTCTCGGCCATACTTAGACTGGTATATTTATGAACCGAGAAATGTATCCCTACACTTTTTTGTGATTTGGCTTAACAGATGAAGTATTGATAGGAATAATTAAATAATATCAACCATTTTTACTCGTCACATCAACTTTTTTTCACTATTTATCCACTCATATAATTTTAACTAATCATCATTTCACATCATTTTTTCACACTTTTACATCAAATCAATTTTAATTATTTTATTATAAATATTATTTTAATATAAACTCAAAGACCAACTAATCATACATTTTTTTTAAAATTAACTCTAGCTAACCAACAAAACTCGTTTTGAGGACGTTTGTTTACAATAATTTTTAATCAATACTCAAAATGTAATTCAATTTTAACTCAACTCCATTATTTTTAATATTATCAATATAATTAAACAATCTAAGTCAATCATTATTACACATCAAATCAATTTTAATTCACTATTCATCAACTCGCATAATTTTAACTAATCATTACTTTATATCATCTCTTTATACTTTTATATCAAATCAACTTTAATTATTATTTTTTAAATATTATTCACATAAACTCAAAATCTCACTAATAACTAACCATACCACTTTTTTTTTCTTTTTTGTTAACAAAAAAAAAAATCGCTTACAAATCCAGCAATAAATAAAGAAAATGAATCAAACACTAGCAATTAATTCAGTTTACAAATCCTAACGTTGAGTCAAAAATTGGGTCATCATCGTTAAAATCCCCAGAGTCGTCGTCTATGTCGTGAATGTGGTGATGGGATATTGCGGTGTGCGAATTCCAATCGGGTGGGAAAGTCCTCTGAAGGGCTTGTGTGATTTGACCACCGGCCCTCTCGATCTTGTAGAGGCATCTGGACCAGTGTATGGCTGTCCCCATGTCGACCGTCAGTCCCCTTGCTGACATCTCGTGGCATAGTGTGAGGATTCCCTTGCGTACGTACTCCTCAGCAACAGTGGCCCTCGACAGCAGGGACGTCATCAGGCAGTGGTACACCGCCCTGTCCGCCTCTATCCCCCCTTCTTTCATATCCTCGAAACATTTCAGAGCCTTTTCAGGGAGGGACGCACGCGACCACCCGTGTATCAGCGTCGTGTACGTTTTCAAGTTTGCCTTCACCCCAACCGCTTCCATCTCCTCCATGCTTTTTGTTGCTCGCTGCAAACAAACAAACTTAAATAAATAAATAATAGTATCATCAATCCCAATAGACCGACACGACAAGTACGGTACCATCATGTCTCCAGCTTTGCAACAAGCATTTATGAAAGACGTGTAGGTGTGGATGTCTGGTTGTACTCCTTCTTGTCTCATTTGCTGCATCAGATCTGCAGCCTCCCAAACATCACCACGACGAGCCCATCTGCATCCAACCACAAAAATAAAATAAAAAAACCAAGCCAAGCCAAAAGTATGCACAACAATTCAACAGTAAAACCCCTCCTCCATTCATACCCATCGATTAATATGTTGTAGATAAAAGTATTCCTCGGGATCTTTTGAGCTTTCATCTCTTTCGTCACTGCTAATGCACTTTGCATTCTGCCAGATTTACAGCAAGCCTTGAGTAAGGCCTCATAAGTAAAAACATCAAGCTCCAGGCCCTCCTTTTTAAATTTTGAAAAGTATTCAAAGGCTTTCCCAGTGTCTCCCAATGACGCATAACCATTCATAATGGTCGTGTATGAGTGCTGATTCGGACTGATGCCAGCAACAACCATCTCATCTAATATAGCCTCAGCCTTCTTCATCTATACAATATAACAAACATGTTCAAATGTTTATATTCTGTGCTTTGTTGAGTTTATGGATGTAAAACAAATTTGGGTATTCTATCAAAGACAAACTCCACCCCAGATGATAAGCAATGGTATCAACTGAAACGGAATTGCAGAATAATATTTGATGTTGCTAATTTTTCATTTATCGTCTATGTTTTCATTATCTCTTACGTATTCAATACTTTGGAGTCCAAGTCCATGAGCAAGGTCCATGATACAAGTTACCACAATCATCCAGTTTATAAATTATGCATGTCTGGATCGAAGGGCCATCCCGTTTAGTACGTTAAACAGGGAAGGAAAAAAAGGAAGCAGCTACTTGACTTTCCAAGCAAAAGAATTTGCACCAACCTAGTACTACATAATATTAGACGTACCTGATGTTTTTCAACAAGCCCTAGAATCAACGCATTGTATGTTTGCACAGTGGGAATGCATCCACTTCTCCTCATCATATCAAAAATATCAAGAGCTCTTCTCATATCTCCAGCTCTAGCAAAATAAAGAATTATGGGCATAAATGTTCTCGAAGTTGGTCTATGCTTCCCCTTTTTCATTTCATCAATCATCCGAATAGCACGTTCGGTGTTACCCATGCCACAAAAGGCTCTAATGATGCTATTGTAAAGTATGACATCAGGCTTCAGACCATCTTTGATCACATCTTCAAATACAGAAAAAGCGTTAGCCCAATCTTTCAAATTGATAAAACCATTGATCAACATTGAATAAGTCTTCAAGTTGTGCTTAACTCCTGCCTGTCTCATCATGTCACTTACTTCCAAAGCTTTGTACACTTTTCCAATCTGGAAAGAAAGCAATGCATAACTCTGAGCAAGCCAAAATAAAACAAACAGGACAGGTGAACACCTCGCCATACTGACTACGTTTACTAGTTACCAAAAAAGATGGCTAGCAAAGGATGCTGCATGTAGAAAACAAGTTTACATATCTAATCCGCTGAGATAGTAGAGTGCTAATTAGTATCTACTCAAATACCTTACACGAATATACCATGTACTAATAGAAGTATTGAATGAATTAATGTAAGATAATTGAGAAAAATCATTCAAAGAGAAATTGAATGAGGGCGTGCACGAGTTGGACAGCTCAAAACAGTAAATAGGAATATTTCCTGCTTAATTATCTTTACACACGTTGTAAAAGCTACAGAGTGGAGTACACGTACATGTAATTTACATAAGATTGAATTTTATCATTCAACAACAGCCTGCCTACTCCATCTCGTCTATATCCTACATTTTGCGGATGAACTACTTAAGCATTAATATAATCATAAGATGAAAAGACAGCTAGCTTGCTCTCAACGGCACTGGAAGAGAAATAGGAAAGAGGGCAAGTCAATTATGGAAGCCGCCAGTAATGTGGACGAAGTAAGATCCAAATGCTCAATATTGCATATTTAACACACTTCTAAAATCTGTCAACCAGAAACTTGCTCACTCCATTGCTATTCAGATTCCATATAAACTCAATAAAACATAACGACCAAAAACAACTTTTTTACTGATGCTGAGAAAAGTACTCTTTGATAACCTAACCTCAAACTATCATAATGGAGTCTTTATTATAAAATAAATGTTCACTTATATATATTTGAGTTACACCACTGAAGTGCAATGATTCTTGAACTGATATCATTAGTATTCCGTACCATTTTTATCATGTAAAACTGGGTTTTTCACATAATGAGTAGATATACATGAAACTGCAGATGAGGGATGAGAGGAAAAGACAGAGTGTAACACAATATCGGGGAACAAGTTGCTGAATTGTGGAATATGAATCAGCTACCTTAGTGTAAAGATTGATGAGACATCCATAAGTAACCACCGAAGGTGCAAAGCCACATTCCTATAGCAAGAATAACTGTCAATATGTAGTACTGATACACATGGAATTAAATAAAACAGTAAAAGCTCCATAGTTTTTACTACACAGCTTCGCAAACTTATATTCTTTCTCCAACCATTTATCCTACAGAACTTCTCAAGAAATAGCACTCCATAGCATTACGGAATGATGGAAATATATTGCATAAACAGCACAAAAGTATGCTTCTGCTTACTTGAGTATTTCAACAATTATTTAAAACTTCTCTCTAACAAATAACAATATATCTGCCAGTAGCGGGCCACCAGAAAGAAATGAGAAAGTAAATAGTTAAATCCTAAAGCGTGATGGAAGTTCCATATTTTACAAGGTAAGGTTTCCACTTCATGTAATTAAAAATAGACCTAAAGGAAAGCGGATATATAAAACTAAGGGAAAATCATATTAAAAATGAAACAAATTATTTACATACAATTTGTTTCGAGCATTAATTTTCAATTGTAATTGGTGCTTAGGGAAATTCCATTGATCTCCTCACAAAGAAAGGAGGATACCTTTGAGAAATAAAAATTCTTCGACTACAGCCATGCCATGCTCACTCAAAAAATTCCTAAGTTAAAAATATTCCTTTGTATCCATAAAACTTTCAAGTACAAGCATGTTTGCATTTCACAACTTCTGGATTTGAACGAAAGGCCATAATATCTATAACCGCTGAAAAAATTCCATAAGCAATTACCTGAAGTCTATCAAAAACCATTAAACATTTCTCTTCATTTTGAACCATGGTATAACCATCCATCATGCTGTGATAGATGTCAATTGGAGCATCAATACCAGCTTCTTCCATCTCTCTCACCAATGCTTCAGCACGGTTCATGTTGCTCACTTGACTGCAAACACAAAATTAAAACATCTCATTGGAGAGGAGAAATGCAACTATAGAGGATAGAAATTTTTTCATAGTAAAATTAAAAAAATAAATAAATAAATAAACTTCATTAGTGTTCATATTAAGGCAATCCATTGATCCTAAACTGATGGTCCGCTTCCGTACCTATAAGACCTGCTATAACGTATGGAAGAAAGCTCAAAATGTGTACTCAAACGATATTCAAAGGATTTATGATGCCGTTCATAACTTGGCTACACTTCAAATGACGGATCAAGATCTTCCTTCTTATTTAAAAAAAGCCCAGTCTACAATCGATGAAGTGATAAATCTCTTACTTTGTGATAATCTCACCAAGACGACAACTATGGTGTTCATTCTTCCTGGTCTTCACAAAGATTTTGAGTCTGTTCGAAACCAAATGTTAACTAATCCTCATGTCTCGTCCTCAATTGATATTATTGATCACTTGTTGGGTGTTCCTCATCCCGAAGCCATAGTCAACACTGGTTCTCATATCGGTCTAGAATCCTCCGCCTTCTTCACAGGCCGCGAACGTGGAGGCCGGAGCAATGGTACAGGCAATGGACGAGGTGGACATGGAGGCCATCCACAATGCTCTTAAGCACGTGGGACACACACATGATAAGTGTTACCAGTTGAACGGTTTTCTTAAAAGAACGGCGAGTGTGACTTATTTCAGAGCCTACCGAAGACGCTAAAGTAAGAAATCAAAATATTTTATCAGATGCCAAAGCAAATATGAAGAATTCCTTCAGCTTCAGGCAACTCAACCAGCTTCAACAACCGCCGCACACACTTGTAATGCTACGGTTCGTTTCTCTCATTCTCATCTCAGTTCTTGGATCTTAGATTCGGGTGGTTCAGATTATATAGTTGGTAATCCCTTGTCCCACAAAATATCTCAACCAACAATTTCTCAATTTATCACTCTTGCTACCAGTTTTAAAGCTAAAGTCACGAGAATTATCCAAGCTACCCCTCTTCCCTCATTGTCTTTATTATTTTCATACCTAATTCTCTTTTCAATTTAGTTTCAGAGCTTCTCTAGCCATGCGCCACATTTTTACTCTATTCCAGAGTAGCGCGAAAAACTTGCTCCAATGTTACGTTGTATTTTCGCACTGAATATATGAACAGTAGCGCGATACTATTCACCGCATTACAATTCTTTTTCTTCAAATTTTAGTTTTTTATTTCTAAATATTATTTTGATAAAATATACATCAATAAAATTACTAATTTTATTCATATTTTGATTTTATATTTGTATTTAAATTTTATTTTGTACTAATATATTTCATGTAGAGTCAAATGTAGCGCAAACGGCTGGAGACGATAGTTAAATTTTGGCATTTTGTGAGTCGAGTAAACTCTACACTAGAGTAGAGTAAAGGATTGGAGATGGTCTCAGTTATTGTGTATAAGTGTGGGTTATGCACCTTACCAATCCCTTTGAGCTAGCTTTTGGGGATGAGTTCTACTCAAGCTCATTTATCACAATCAATTTATAGCTGGAACGATTCATCAATCATTGTGCCCTCATACCCACCTCATACCCCACAACAAAATGGTGTTAGTGAAAGAAAACATCGTCATATTATTGAAACCATACGAACAATTTTACTACATTCAAATACTCGTTCAAAATTCTGGGGCTATGTTCTTATTGTTGGATATCTACTTAATAGAATGCTCTCATCCTCTTTAAACAATAAAATACTCTATTTCATATTGTTCCCTCATGAACCACTCTTATGTTCCTCCCCATGTCTTTGGTTGTGCGTGTTTTGTTCACGATCTTACTCTTGGTCTTGATAACCTAAAGGCTCATGCTATTAAATGCATCTTCCTTGGTTATTCTCAAGCACAAAAATGGTATAAGATATTATTCTCCCCTACACCGCCGCTTCTATATATCAGCGGATGTCACCTTCTTTGAGGACACTCCATTCTTTGGTCCTTCATCAACAAACACCCAAGAGTATGTTGAAGTATTCCCAATTCCTTCTGCATTTGTTAATAGTGAATGGTCATCCAAACCTATTGGTCAATCTATCTAACCATTAATTACGTATCAATGTCGCACCCGTCCGTCACCACTTGCAGAGATCACTACCAATGAGACGTGTGCAAGCAGTTGCGGTCCCACCTGATACACCTATGGGTCTTCCCACCATTGCCCTATGCATCGCTCCACATCTAATCCTCATCCTACGACAAAATATGATTGACGAGATGACAGCCCTAGAATCTAACCAGACGTGATCTCTTGTTCTAGTACCACATGGGAAATTCGTTGCGTGTAAATTGTTGTCGTTGGGTGTTTTACACTGGAAGTGGGCCTTGATAGTCAGATTGATCGTCTTAAAGCTTGTCTTGTAAGCTAAAGGTTACATATTTAGCCTTGGTGATATTTTTTTCTATGGTAGCCAAGATGACATTTGCTTGTGTTTTTCTATCAATAGTCGCGATGCGTCATTGGCCGCTCTACCAGTTCGACATAAAAAATGCTTTTGTCCATGATGGTTTGGTGGAGGAAGTTTATATAGAACCTACGCTTGTTGCTTGGGGAATCAAAAGGCTTTGTTTGTCGACTGCATAAAGCTCTATATCGTCTCAAGCAAAGTTCTCGTGTATGTTTTGGGAGATTTAACACAATTCGTCGGAAGTCTGGTATGAATCGCACCATTAAGTGTTTTATTAGCATTCTTCAACAAATCAGAGTGCATTTACTTGGTCATTTATGAGGACGACATTATTATTATTGGTGATAATCATGGTGGTATCCAACGCTTTAAGCAATATTTATTTCAATACTTTCAAACCAAGGACTTTGGCCGACTATTATATTTTTTTGGTATTGAAGCAGCTCAGTCAAAATTCGAAATTGTCATCTCTCAAAGAAAATATGTTGTTGATACACTGAAAGAAACATGTATGCTCAACTGTAAGCCCGTTGACACCCGTATTGATCTAAATACAAACTTATGCCGGATCAAAGAAACATGTATGCTCAACTGTAAGCCCGTTGACACCCGTATTGATCTAAATACAAACTTATGCCGGATCAGGGAAAACTTATTGCAGACCCCGGTAGATATCAAAGACTGGTTGGAAAGTTTAATTATCTTACGATGACTAAGTCTAACATATCCTTTGTTGTTACTGTTGTGAGTCAATTTCTAACCTCTCCTTGTGATTCTCATTGTGATGGTGTGGTGTGAATCCTACATTGAAGAGGGTTGATATATGAGAATATAGGTCACACAAATATTGTTGCATATGCAGATGCGGATTATGACGGATCCCCACATTATCAACGATCGACATCTGGTTATCGTGTTCTTATTGGAGGCAATCTTATTTCTTGGAAAAGCAAGATGCAAAATGTTGTTAATAGATTCAGTGTCGAGGCCGAGTATCGAGCTATGGCTCTTACGGCATGTGAACTTATTTGGCTATAATAACTTCTTGCCAAATTAAAATTCAGTGAATTGCAAGTCATGATCTTATTTGTGATAATCAAGCAGCGTTAAACATTTCATAAAATCCAGTGTTCCATGAAAGAACGAAACATATAGAAGTTGATTGCCATTTCATCAGTGAGAATTCTTTCCGGAATATTTCATCGATTGTAAATTCTAATGATTAGTTGGCTAATGTTTTAACCAAGTCCATTGGAGGTCCACGAATATCATACATATGCAGCAAGTTGGATGCTTGTGACATTTATGCACTAGCCTGAGGGGGGTGTTAAAATATAATTAGATAATTTCGTTAAACTCTTTTTCTTGTAACTAGTAGATTGTAATTAGGGATATTAATATATTGTACTTCTATTCCAGCCCCTTTAATCAAGGGTTCTTGTATGTACAACTTGTTCTATACAAACATTCTTGTTGACTTTCTCAAGCAATTTATTTCACAAACTACTCTCCTCTCATGTCTAATTCCTCTTTTCAAGAGTAACGAGTATTGGTTCTTCCACAAATCTAAAAAGCCAGCCCCTATACTCAGCATTCCAATCTGGTTGGATCTTTTTCTATTTTAAAGACAATTTATTGGAAATTATATTATTTTGAGACATAGCTATATCTTATGTATTTGCATTTATCCTATATTTGCACATGATATAGTAATTAGATCATTATTAGCTATAATGCATGGTTGCGCATTTGATGGTAATCATGGAACATGTCTTTAAAGCTGTGATATTAAATAAGTTCCAAGTCGATGGGTGTTTCGAGACAGGACATCGAATAACCCGGTAAGACTTGTGCATATAATGTATGCTCGTCGGACGAGAATGTTGCATTCCATCAACATTAGCGTGTGGACGCAAATGCATATATGTGGGTGCTTGTTGGAGAACAAGTTCATGGCCCGATGAAAATTCTTAACTAGAAGTGTTAACTGTCGAATAAGAATTTTCGAGCATGTTTGTTTATGAAATTTTTCAAAAGAAATTCCAACATTTTAATTCAACCACTATTTTTAACTCAACCCCACTATCATCAAAATTACCAATATAAATATCAATCAATCATTCATACACACCACATCAACCTTAATTCACTATTCATCCACTCACATTATTTTAACTAACCATCACTTCAAATCTCTCTCTCCTACTTTTACATCAAATCAATTTTAATTATTTTATTTTAAATATTATTTTAATATACCCACTAACACTAACCATACCACCTTTTTCAAAATTAACCAAACTAATTCAAAAAATCCAAACAAAACAAAAAAATTTTATAAACAAACATGCTCTTCATGTTGCAATAGTACGTGACTGATCCTCTGACTTGAGGCAAAATAGTAATCTTGTGCATGTTGTGTTTTACTTTGATTTATCCTTTGATTGTTGAACAATCATAAAAGGGATATTTTGGGTACTGTATCAATATGTATGGAGGTTCGTCTGTGGCCAACAAAGAATTCGACACTTATGCGGATAAGTGAATTTCCTATGTTTTTCATAGTTTGTGATTCAAAGACCTTGGCCATGGCGGGATGAATATGGATTCATAAAAGAATCACTAAACTTGAAATGAAAACATAGTTATTAAATCAATTGGGTTTCGATTTATAAATCCATGCCCAAGATTTAATCGAGAAATTAGTTGTCGAAAAGAATTTTACATGTATGCACTTGCAATTGAAAAAATTTACTCGCTATTTCACTTAACACTAGATAATCATGCTACTTGCTAGGTGTACTATGATTTGTGGGTTCTTGAAATTAAGGAGTTAATTTCAAGAATATAAATTAATTAGATTAATTTAAATTACAAACGAGTTGCATACTCACTACTAGTGTTAATCGTGAACCTAAAAGGGTCACACCAAAATTTGGATGATGATAATTTTGAAATTGGTATTTCCAATAGTTGGATTAATTGACAAGACTTAATTAAATAATTTGATTATTTAATTAAATCTAATTTTGATTAGATGTCAATTAAAGGAATAGTATAAATTAATCAATTGGATTGATTAATTGGGCTTTGGATATTAATTAAGTAATTATTGAAATTACTAAATTAATAGTTGGATTTTAAAGTTGGACTTTAAAATTCAGAATCCAAATATTAATATGATTATATATTCAAAGGCTATTTAAAAGAGAAGATTTTATTTTATATGGGAGATAAGATTTTGACCAATTAATTTTGAAATTAGTTTCATAAATTATAGGTCATTATCTTTATTTAATCTTTAATTAAGATTAAAAATTAAAATAAAAAAATAATAAATTAAAAAAAAAAATGATGATGAGTAGTGGAGCCGTCACTCTCATCTCCATCTCATTCTAAATAATAATATATATTTAAAAGTGTTGTTGGGGTGGGTTTTTCAACCACCAATAATGTCTTTATATTAAATGTACATTTGATATAAAAAAATGAGATGGACTTCATGAGACTTGATATAAAAAACAAGTTCTCATATAATGAGTTTTATGCATGAGAGAAAGTAGCTCTCGGCTTTTGGCAAAAAGCACTCCCACATTTTGTAGAGAGCATATGATGCTCAAGGCAATTTCAAAGAAGAAAAAAAAAAAAAAAAAAAANAAAAAAAAAAAAAAAAAAAAAAAAAATCTCTTCTTTTATTTGATTTAAAAATATCAATTGAATACCGCGAAATTTACTAGCGAAAAAATTGTCCTCGGAGTCGGAATCCAAAAGGTGGACTCGATTAGAGGGGAGACACTTAGATCCCTTGAGGTGAGACAAACAAAGTCGGTGATAGCAACATAACCGGGAATTGATTTCCTCTCCGTCGTCGCTTTACGAAGAAGATTAAAAGGTAATTTTTGAAATTCTCTACAAATCAAAATTCGTATTTTACGTGATTTTAAAAAATGTCGATCATAACAATCGCTATGTTAACGGGGGTTTAGTATTTATTAGATAAATGCTTATTTATTTCGTTTTATTTCCGCTGCGTTTCACCCCGTACGGTATAGCGAACCCAACAGTTTCTTCCGATCAAGCTTAAAATTGATTAAAAGAAAGTAAATAGAAACTCTAGAGTTTCTGCAAGTCTGAGAAAAACTAAAATAAACATCATTTTTGTTTATAAAAAGAGAGAAAGTTC